ATCCGCCTAAGAGATAAAACATATGTTTTGTTTTGTTAGGGTAATTGTGCTTATGAGGTGTTGGATGTACTTGCTGCAAAGAGGCAAGGTTAAGCAGGGCAAGGAGTAAACCTCTTGAACAAGCAACGCTGAAAAGAGAAAAGAGTTCATGAAGAGCTTAGCAAAAAAAAAAAAAAAAAAAAAAAAAGAGAGAGACAGAGAGAGAGAGAGTACCAAAGTCGAACTGTGCTGACCCATCGGCCCTGTTGAGCAAGTTTTGGGAGGAGAAGAACGGACGCAATTGATGAGGCGAAGTGCGAGTTCGGTCAAGGCGTGTCATTTGGGCAAAAGTGAAATGGAGTGAAAGGTAAAGTCAACAAGGGTGGCGCCTTTTGAGAACAACAAAAAAGGGAGGACTGTGACCTGTTCTTGTTGGCGAATCCCATCAGCCAATCAGGCGCCGAAACAAAAAAAATGTAAAATTTTACAAAAAATTTCCCCAGCCGAGGATCGAACTCGGGATTTCCGCGTGTCTTTGGTATAAATCGATAAATTTATAAGCACGGTGCCTTGCCGACTTGGCCACTGGGGACAGCTGAGTCACAATGTGACTCGCTTTTGGGGAAAGCTTTGAAATTTTCAGAATCAAATTTTTGCTTTTGTACCCAACGCCTGATGGTAGTTTGTATCCACGTGACATTTATCAACTGTCGATTGTCGCCACCATTCTCAATTGCAGTACAAAAAAAAAGCGAATGCCATGGTGTTTCATTCTTGACATTCAACTTTACAACTTTTCTGTCACACTTTATCGCGAGCTTATACTATTACATTCGCCATCTACACTACACCAGCATCCATGTAAGTTTTTTTTTTTTTTTTTTGCTTTTTCTTTTTCTCGTTATATTTTATTTTGTTTTCCACATTTTTGGGTCTTTGACAGGTAGTAGACGTCTTTGCCACCGAATTGTAACCCCGTTCTTTGTAGTCTTTCCTGGCTAACATGTCATATCTACCCATCCTCGGACAGAGTTCGCTGTCTAGCACATGGGAGTGAAAGGCTTGTGGGAGCTGCTCCACCCAGTGGCGAGGCCCATCAAACTCGAGACGTTAGCCAACAAGCGTCTTGCAGTCGATGCCAGTATCTGGCTTCACCAGTTCATGCGTGGTATGCGAGATAAGGATGGTGCAATGGTCGGAAACGCTCATATTATTGGCTTCTTCAGACGGATCTGCAAGCTTCTCTATTATAATATTAAGCCTGTCTTTGTCTTTGATGGTGGTACGCCTCTTCTCAAGCGACAGACAATTGTAAGCCTTTTTTTTTTATAATACTTGTTGATAAGGTCAATGTTGAAATGGACCCTCTTCCTCTCCTACATTCCTATTTTAACGCTGTGTCTCCATTCCTGAAATAGCAAGAAAGACAGCGTAGAAAGCGCCACGATGCCAATTTGGTCAAGCGGACAGCCGAAAAGTTGTTGGCAGCGCAGTTGCGACTACGAGCCATAGAACAAAGAAAGGCTTCAAGGTAATGTACCTACACGATGAACTACTAAAATCAAAAGATGAAACTATTTTTTTTCGTCACAACCTGTTAACCTGTCTTTATACCATATTACTTATTTAGAAAAAAAAAGCAGCAGGAGAAAGTTGGGAAAGACAGCAATGTGGAGCATGACACGACGGAGAACGTTGCGTACTTGGATGATTTGGCAGAAGGCTTCTCAACGCGTTCCAAGCCTTCAGTTGGAGAATCAAAATCGTCCACCACCGCACCAGTGTCTACAGGAAGCCAGGCCAAGCGTATCAAGGATGTCTACATCCTTCCTCCAATGGAAACTGATTTTGAAACTCTGTCCAGGATTCGACAGCACGACGAGCGCTTTGGACGCGGCGAGCATGACGACATTCAAAGTTTTCTAGACGGGTTTAAGAAGGAGGACGGTGTCGACAATATCGACTCAGAGGTGTTCCAGGCGCTTCCTACAGAATTACAGTATGAGATTCTATCCGACATTCGGTTACGGTCTAGAGTGACATCCTACGAGCGCGTGCAGGAAATGGTCCGCAAATCCGAATCGGCTATGGATTTCTCCAAACTTCAAGTTGAAGGAGTTATACGCCGGAACAATGTGACACACAAGCTACTCAATGTCAACCGGACAATCAACAAAATCGACGATGCCTCAGTTGCTAAACCAGGTCGGATTGCCTCGCAACGAAACCGGCAGTATATTCTGATCAAGAATGAGGATGGAGGTTGGGCACTAGGTGGGAAAAGGTCCACCCTAGGGACAACAGCTGAACAGCCTGTACGATTGGACTCTGACGATGAAAGTTCGAAAGGCAAAATGCTGGATGTCAAAGCTGACGAGTCTGACGAAGACTGGGAGAGCGAAGATGATGAGGACTTTGAGGAGGTTAGGGTTCCGGGAAGCGACCATTTTGACGCTAATTTACCTCAGTTGTCTGCAACATCACCCGTAAGGCATCATAGAAGGGAATCGCTGAGCGCTACCGGGCAGAAGGAGTCGTTGCTGGATCATATTGAGGCCTACGTGGATGAAAATGAGTCTGTTGAAGTGGTCATGGCCAAGTTTGCTGACATGGAAGATAAGGCGCGTCAAAGGGACGGCAAGTTTTCTGAACCAAAGCCAGAGATATTGGCTGCGGCGCCAGTGATGAGTCACAATACGACCCAGATTGGAGAGGAAGGTACTGTCTGGCCCAAAGTCTTGGACGATGGTGAGCAGGAGGGATCGATGTCTCTTGATACGCTTGACTCGGAAAATACTCTGGCCGATTACGATATGATGCCAAGCGATGATCATTTTGATGAGTCTGATCGCTGGACCTCCAACCAACGTAGTCGTTCAGAGTTGGAAGACGGGGATCGTGCAATCGATGATGAGACTCTCCTGGATCAAGGTGCATTCCAAAGTTATTGGTCAGGGAATGCCCCCAATGGGTTCAAAACCATGCACCCCGACTACAAGTCTCTGATTCAGGAGGCGGTAACAACCTGGGACCAAGACCGTTTGATGACTGAACTCCATTCGGTGGGCCGAAAGTTGGAGAAGGTCAACACGAACGATGTTAGTATGATAGAGTCTTTACAGTTTTGGAAATCATTTCTTGATTCCATGGATCGTCGACGGATACTTCTGGAAGTGCAGCCAAAGGAGGAGCATCAGCAGCACGGCCATTCATCCAAAGATGGTTCGACACTCAAGGATGACCAACAATCGTCCATATTAGCTTCTAAGAGCCGTCTCTTACGCACGGTTCTGTTGCACGAGGGCGATGATGACGACATCGAGGGCGAGGTGGCTGTACTGGACCATGATATACTCGTGGCTAACTATGACCCTCACTTGAACGGAACCTCATCGACGCCGGATCGTGGAGAATCAGCTGTCGCCACACCTGCTAATGTCGGCCCTGCAATGGAAAATGAGACCATCGACTTTGGCTCATCCTTCCTCAAAAAGAAACCAACCCCCAGACAACCTCCCACTACTTCCACTACTTCTAGTGGCACCGATAGTCAAGATCTATCCCTCTCAGATCATGATGAAGACGAGCGGGACGACTTGCTAGATAGGGCGGCGGCCTCAACTGACAATGCAATGGATATTACTACAACAGCCCTATATAGTCCACCCAGCTCCGAGAGGAGTATCGACGGACCTTTAAACGAATCAGCAGTACTCAACGGCGGACCACATAGCCCTGAAGCAAGCTCTATGGATGCGGGTGGAGAGGGAAGGATTGGCGATCACGGGGACAGCGGCGACGACGATGATCAAAATGAAGCTCAGGATATTGATCTTGAAAACGAAGAGAAGGACTTTACGCAAATGTTCCCCGACATGGCGGTATTACCTGGTGCCCTCGTCATGCCTAAATCTAATTCTCAACATTACCTCGAGCAGCCACCTCATACGACTTTGACGGCGGGGGAACAACTCTTGCAGGATCAGAAAGAAAACACAGCAATGTCTGCAGAGTCTCGAAGGCTCGAAGGTGTGATCAAAGCGTTGCGTGACCAGCACCGTAAGCACCAGCGAGACGCAGACGATTTGACAGAGTCCATGATAACCGAGACTCAAACGCTTCTTCGACTTTTTGGAATACCGTATATTGTTGCCCCGATGGAAGCTGAGGCCCAATGCGCCGATCTGCAACTCCGTGGTGTAGTTGATGGTATATTGACAGAAGACAGCGACGTCTTTTTGTTCGGTGGCATGCGTGTCTTTAAGAACATGTTCAAGGAGGAGAAGTATGTTGAATGTTATCTCATGAGTGATGTTGAGCGTGATTTGGGAGTTGGTCGGGATAGACTCGTGGCTTTGGCCTATTTGCTTGGTAGTGACTATACGTCTGGTATTAAAGGTATCGGTCTAGTCACGGCTATGGAGATTTTGAGGCTCTTTCCAAAGCTCGAGACTTTTGCCAAGTGGTGGCGCGGCGAGCAAGTTGAGATTCAGGGCACAGAGGCAAAAGAGGCTGAAAAGTCAGGCGCGACCGAAAAGACCTGGATGGAGGACTTGGAGTTGGAGAGCAATAATGAAATCGCGCTAAAGAAGCTGGTAATTTCTCACTCTTCCTCTTTTTCTCTGTTTATATATCTCACACACACTCTCTTTATTGTAAATACCATTATCAAGGAATTTCTGCTAATGTTCGTTGTTCATGTTAGGCGAATACGTGCAAAAAGATGCATCTTCCTTCAAGCTTCCCAGATCCTGTCGTGGCCGAAGCTTATACGAAGCCGTTGGTTGATAACGATAGTGCAAAGTTCCAATGGGGAATTCCAGATCTAGACGGCTTGCGTGATTTCTTGCGTGGGATGTTGGGTTGGGACCGTGGTGAGGTGGATCATGTCCTGTTGCCGATAATTCGTCAACTGTCCAAGGCATCATTCCAAAACTCACAGACAACATTGGACGGCTACTTTGATGCCTCTGTTGGCACGGGTGCCTTTCAGCCAGCCAAAAGAATGAATTTGCATAAGAGTGCTCGCCTAAGAAAGGTTGTGAGCCAACTAACAGGCCAGAAGATGAACGCAACCGCCACTGCGCCTGAACCAGCCACTGCAAGAGCAAACAAGTCCACAACAACCTCTTCCAAACGTAGGGCTACCGTGCCACACAAGGGCGAGGAAAAATCAAAGGCTCAGAGCGAGGGTGGCCAAATCCAGACGATCTCTCCTGCCTCTGAAGAAAAGGCGTCGAATGAAGAGAACGATGTGGACGAGGTTGAGGTTGTGACCAGCAATGTGGCAAAGAGGCAACGGAGAACACCGTCCAAGACAAGGACACAGCTTAAAGTACCTGACTCAGTCACGGCCGCCAAGAAGCAGCTCCAATCCAAGAGTCTGGCTTCCAAGTTAGCTGCCAGGAACAAAATGAGGGCTGAGAGTGAGGCTGCGCTTGAGGCTGGAATAGTACCACCGTCTGCAAGTCACGTTGACATGCAGGAGAGCCTAGATTCTTCACATTCGGGCTCTAGTAGCAGTGAGGAAGAAGATGCTTTTCAGTCGAGTCATTGGGATCTGCTACCACAAAATACCCCGCAACAACGCGT